GAAGGTTGTGGGCTATTACTGGGTTGTTCTTCTGTGAAAAGATCCACAACAGCCGTGTTTCATTTTCAAAAAGGAAGGAAAACTTAACTATTATTATTGTAGAAACCTAATGGAAAAAGAGGAAAGGAATCTGCACACAGATGAAGGTAACAGTAGGCAATAAATGAGAAGAAGGCAAAGTCACATCAAATCAGGTACTTATAACATCCAATCTCATCAGCTGGGAAAGCCCGGTAGAAACAGCCAGGCTGGAGTCCTGAGAGGCCTGGACAGAGTGTCCTCCCCTCAGGTGAGCCTTCCAACTGACCATCCCCATAGGGCCATATTCATAGGCCAAATAACAGGGTTTGAAGTTAAACATTTGTTTGCCTACGTGCAGTATGGTACGAGCTGCATTTCTATGTTATCATGTTATTATATTTTTAGGAGCCTTGGCTATGTGTGTCTGCCTCAGATTCCATTCCGGGGGGCCAGCCCAGCCTGGAGCAGGAGGGGATGTGAGGCAAAATTTATAACTTTTGGCACCCAGAACAGAAGGGCCAGTTCTGACCTGGAGGCCGGATAATATATTTTAAGTACCCAGGCTCCCAAGGTTATTCACATAGCATGAGTGTCACAAACATTTCTTAGCCTGCTTGCATACATATAAGTCCAGATGATCAGTTATGCAGGACAAATCATAGAAACATCCACCCATATGGAACAGTTGTTAAGGTATCCTGTTGCTAACCTAGTAAATATATTTGCCTTCCCATGTGAATGCAGTCATGGGTTGGCTCTCCTTAGCAACTGGAATAGCAAAGAACATGTCAGATAAGTCTATCCCCATGCAATCAGTTCCAGATCCAGTGGTGATATTGCTTATGATAGCACCTATATTTGGGAGTGCTCCCTTAGCTTGGGGAGATTATCTGTTTAAATTCCTAAACATCTGTAAATCTATATGACCTGTCTAGCTTTTTGATAGGCCAGATTAAGTTATTTATATGGTGAAATAGTAGGCACAAGAATTTGTTCCTTTACAAGTTCCTGAAAGTTTTCCTTATTATTTGTGTGTCCTATTATATCCATTCCAAGAATGTTTTCTAAATTGGGACTTATAAGGCATTTAGTTTTAAAGTCTGTCCTCATTGTTAGGAATCTATGTACCCATGTGTGTGGGGTTAATTTTCCTTCTCATCCTTCAATCGGTCCCTTTTTGTTGTCTAAATTTCCTAAATTAGTAGGATATCTTTGTATCATTGTTATTAGGACCCCGTATCTAACGACATAGTGGTATATGTAGTATTTTTATTTGCAAAAGAGGTTTCTATTGATATGGCCAGTGTAACATATGAGCAATTGTCTCTGGCTTGAGCCAAGAGGAGAGACTGCTGAATCCCTATGGGGAGCTCATAGAATTTGCTTTCTTTGGCTAGCAGTGGTTTGTCTATTAATGGGATTAGGTTTTATAAAGGGACAGTATTTACAGCAAATGGACTAGTGGGTATATGTGGGTTTATTTTCTGTAGGTCTATTTACTGTACAAGGTGATTGTTTGTTTCTCTGCCTCTCCTATGTAGTTTGTGGGGCATCTATTTGAGTTTCTACTTTTATAATTTGTTTTCAAGAGTGGTGGTCTAAATAGTGTAGGTGGCCAAAAAGGCCTTGTAGATTTGGGTCTAGATGGTCTATTTTGATTTGGTCTATTTTTATTAGGTGTAGGCCTGTTTTGTCTACATACATAAGTGTTAAAGCTATAGCCTTTATCTTTTGCTTTTAAAGTTTATTTTTTTTTAGCAATCTCTACACCCAAAGTGGGGATCTAACTCCCAACCCCAAGATCGAGATACATATACTCTTCCAACTGAGGCAGCCAGGCGCCCCTCTAGCCTTTATCTTGACCTACTTCCTCAGCTGTTCTTATCAGTCAGCTTTCCTGTGTTTCTGGTGCCTGCAAATACCGTAAATAATGCTGTTCTGTGGTGGTGCAGCTTTTAGACTTTAATTTGTTCTGTTGCTTCCACATCTAGCAGTGTGGGTGTCTGTTCCTATCATAAATCAGTTAATAGTCTTACTTTCATCATATTAGTAGCTTCCCCTGCTGTTTTCCATGGAGATGTTGTAAGGAACGATATAGTTGGAATAGGCCATCTTAGTCTCCAGGTTGCTGCTACGAAAGATTTTGTAAATTACTATTTTCTCCAGATGCTCTAAGGGGTTGATTCAAAGTAGCATCACTAGTAATGGGTTTGAGGTGCACAATCTCTGCTCTGTGAGGACCAGGTTTTGTCCTCCTTTGGACCATAAATCTAATAGTCATTGACTTTTTGTGTCACTATCGATCAATATATTGGAATTCCACTTTAGTTTTTGTTATTTATTCTCTGGTATAAGCTTTCTCTTTAGTGACTGGTTCTATATTATTTGTTGTAGTTTTATCTGTTTTCATAGGCCTAGCTTCTAGTTAAACAGGGTCAAATAAACAGGTTAAAATAATTGTTAGCTCTGGGTGTGGGTTGGTGCCCCAAGGAGCAAAAGGGTCTGGATTTCTCCCTCCCCTGGAGATAACTTTTTCCCCTTCCGCCTATAAGCATCTGTGTAACTTAATGCTCCTAATAAGAGTGCTATAATGTCTTCTTTAATATAGGATATAACTCATTGGACCAACATCTGGAGTCTCCTTAAGCTTTGTCCAGCCTGTTTTCAATAGATCTCTAGGAATCCTCTGAATATATAATCTATGTTACCCCTAAACTGCCTCTTGAGTAATTTTGGTGGGGTTAGTGACCAAGGCATATTTTCTATTTCCTCTTGCCCTTCACAACTGCGTTCAAAATAGAACACATATTATAGAAGTCTGCTGATGGGGAAGAAATAGGCAAGTCAGCTAGGGACCTGTTTCAGAAAAATTGTCAGGAGTAGCCGGGTCATGGGAGTGGGCTGCTGGGGGTACAGGGCATCTTCCCAATTCTAAGCCCTAACCTACACCAATGTGCATATTCTTCCTGAAGACAGAGCTGAAAGAACTTAGAACTTAGACTGCCTTGCACAGTTTGCCTATGCAAACTGGCCTGAGTATCCTCCCATAAGGGGTACCTGGGTGCCTTGATTGCTGGGGAACCCCAGAACTCATCGGAAGACAAATGAAAATATAGACCATCACCAGTTTAAAGCTGAGACCTCAGGAATATTTGGGGGGTTGGTCTCTCACTGCCGCAGAGGTGATATAGGGAAGATTGGGGACCAGCCAGAGCTCCACAGACCCGGAGGGCCCTTGTGGCCAGGGTTGATAGGTATGTACTACTCCTGCATATGCCAGGCAGGGCACTGTAGCCAGGGACCTGGAACATGGAAAGTATCCAGAGTCCAGGTGTCAAGAGCAGGCTCTTGGGTGTCCATGGCATTTGCCTATATCCAAGATCCAGCTTACACTAATGCATATATTCCCTCTGAGGGCAAAGCTGGAGGAATCTGGACTGTCTTGCTGGGTGGGGCCAGCTGGAGTGCCTTGCATTTAGAAGTACCTGGGAGACTTGATTGTTGGTTTGTGGGGAGGAAGAATTTTCTTCTACCCTTCAAGCTGGTCTAAGAATTAAATTGACATGAGATAGATTAACACAAGAAAAAAAAAGTTATTTTGTACACACAGATGACCAATAATGAAACTGAGACCCGCCCCCCTACCCCCCGCCCCCAATGACCAAAGCATGCAGCTTTTAAAGGTTTAGGCAAAGAAACATAAATCTGTGAGGAATGAACAAAACAGAGAAAACTTAAGTTCATTAGCTTTAATTAGTACAAAATTATAAACAATTTGGGCTAAAGTAGTAAATTAGTAAAAGTAGCAAGACTTGCTTATTTATATAATCTTGGCTCTGAATACCTATTTCAGGTGATAAGGTCTTTCTATCTCCTGATGTAGGAAGGGTATCTTTCCTATTGGAGATTTATTTTCTGCTCTCTGGAGATAAAGAGAGTCAGAGTGTTCTTCCTACACTGGCTGTTTCTTAAATAACTTTAATTCAAAATAACAGGACAAAGTGGCATATTTTGGGGTAGCCTGTCCTGGGCCCCTAGAGTTCCCTAGAAACTTCCCTAGAGAGTTCACATACTAAAATCTGAGCTGGTCGATTGTTCTGTTTCATGGAACCAGTCTCTTAGTGTTGAGAATAGGTCAGTTCTATTAAACCCCTTTCAGGAGGTAGTGATGCATGTGTGTTCCCAAAGTTAGGCTTACAGTTCAGTCAGGTATTAAGAGGCATTTCTGTGGAAAGAAGAGAAAAACAATGGTTAAGAATTGGAGCAAATTATAAACCAGTTTCAGAGTTCCGAGAGTACCAAGTTGAGAAGAGTTTTAGATGTCAGAGTCAAAGTATCTTTAGATGAACTGAAAACAGGCAGAGGGAAGCTTAGAGATTTTCTTGGTTTTCAGTTTGAATGTCTCTGGTGATCCTTCGAGTGGCCACATAGCAACCTGCACAAAGATCATCCATACATGTGCTGTTGTGATGATTTCCCTGAAGTTTACATTAAGTCATTTATACTCAGTTTGGAAGGCTTCAGGAAAAACGGCAGATTTAGGTTTCAATGATTTCAAGTCAAAAGGATGGGAAATTGTAAATGTTAGTTTGGAGAACTGTAGCCAGAGTTTGGATGAAACCAGACCAGTTCAGGATCTAGTTGAGTTTACAGGTAGAAATAGAATCTAATATCCAAAAATAAATATTTTAGTTTTAAAGGAAGCATTTTTTTTCTCTCTACCATTACCCCATTCCTCTCAATGATAATCACAGTAAGTAATTTGTTCACAAATTAAGCATAGTTTCAAAAAACTTGATTATTTACGTAAATGCAGCAAGAGTAGCAATTGGTCATATAAGCTCTTTTAAATCTGCTTTGGTATAAGGAATCTCTAGACTGAGATTTTAATAGCCCCTTGAAGCTAAGAAGCCAAGCCAAATACTTGCCATCAGACTTTGCAATACCGATAGAGTTGAATTACTTTCTCTCTTTTCAAGGTCCCCTAATCTCCTGAGGTTTCTGCATCTGCCAGGAAGTGACCTTTACTCACCTGATAAGGCTGCTGAGATCCTTGTAAGCAAGATATTGGGCTGATATTTCCAAGGGGATTTATTGGTTCCATAATGTCATCTTTAGGTTCATAAAGCTGTCTGGTCATATCAGTCTCTGCATGTTTCTCTCAAATATGACATTCTAGTCAAGCCTTGGTAATATAACGAATGTTTCCAATTATGTCCTGTCACAAAGAGAACAGATTCTTATTGAACTCAGGCAAATATTTCTATGAAACTATAAGGATACTCACTGAGAGAGATTCCAAATCCTGGAGAGATCAAGTAGGGGAAAAAGACAGATGTTTCAATTCTGCTTCCAAAGGTACAATTTATCAAATTGCTGTGAGTCATATTAGCTTAAGAGGAAGGGCTTTCCTGTATCTTGAAAACAAAAGATGAAATAACAAGCACTATTTCAAACAAAAAGTGATAAAAATTATAATCATTCTCAGTTTATTCAGAACCATGTGGTTATTTTTTGTTGATCTTTTGTTAGTAGTTTTATGAAGCCTTCAGTTTCTCTGTTAGAGTTCTATAAATTCTTCCCAGTTCAATGGTATGGTCTTAACGTTATTAGAGACCTGTATTCTAGAGTACTTGTCAGAGTCTTTTCCCTGAATCTCCATAAATGAAGGACTGTTGCAAAAGCATCAGAGTAAATCTTTTGTCTGTAAATGCCAAAAGTCTTAAAAATTGCAGTGGTTAAGGATCTGATTAGAGTTCATTACAATGCAACCAACAAAGTAGTTTGGTTATTTCTGTGACACACAGAACTTCAAGATTAGAACTAGAATTGCAAGTGATAACATACCAGGACATATCAGACATTGCTTCCCATGTTATTTAACATAGAAATAAGACAAATTCTTTTATAAAGAGAACAAATCCTTCAAATGTTCTAGGAATCCTCTGGAATATTTTAAAGTTAGTTTGTGGTCAAGACTTCATTTTAAAATTTGATTTTGGGACGTTTGTCAAATATCAAAAGCTTTGCATATTTGATTAAATAGGATCACAGATCATTATGTAACCATACTTAGCTATCAAATTAACCAAAGTGCCTTAAAGACTTCACAGGCAAACACAGAAAGTTAAATAGCTGTAAAAAGCCTTAGCTCTTTTAATATTAAATAGAAAAAAAAAAAAAGCAACAAAGACCTGATAAAGACAACACACAGAATCTTTGTTTTTCTAGGTAGGTTGCATTAAAGGTAAAGAAAAACATTATTTAGGGCGCCTCGGTGGCTCAGTTGGTTAAGCGACTGCCTTCTTGGGTCATGATCCTGGAGTCCTGGGATTCAGTCCCGCATCGGGCTCCCTGCTCAGCAGGGAATCTGCTTCTCCCTTTGACCCTGTACCCTTTGTGCTCTCTCGCTCTCAAATAAATAAATAAACTCTTTAAAAAAAAAAAAAAAAGAACACTATTTACAATTTTTTATTAAAAGCAGACCAATAATTTAAGTTTATCCTTTTAACAGAGAAAAACCAAATTTTAATTTTGTACCAGCTTACTTTTGATATTAACTCATTTTAAATAAATTTTAATCTTACCCAATTAAGCACACATTAAAGTCCCATTTTAAAAATTCCTGTTTCACAAGGCTTTTACAACTTTTGTTTTTCCTCTTTAAATAATAAGCCTCACTTTAGGATAAATTATTTTTTTTTTTAAAGATTTTATTTATTTGACAGAGAGAGAGATAGGGAGAGCAGGAACACAAGCAGGGGGAGTGGGAGAGGGAGAAGCAGGCTTCTCACCAAGCAGGGAGCCCGATGTGGGGCTTGATCCCAGGACCCTAGGACCATGACCTGAGCCGAAGGCAGGTGCTTAACGACTGAGCCACCCAGGCGCCCCTACATTTTTTTTTTTAACAAAAAATAAAAGGTATGAGGAATAGAAATAAACTCTACCCCCTATGTGGGGCTCAAACTTATGACCCCTAGATCAAGGGTCACATGCTTTACTGACTGAGCCAGCCAGGTGCTCCTACTCCTTATACCTTTTTTTTTTTTTAATACCAACAATACACATCCTACTTTTCTTGCATATGGAGATATTTCCTTTAATTTTAGTAGATTTAACCACATATATTAGAATTTTTAGCCCTTAGATTTCACTAGATAATAAAGTTTAGAGTCTAAGTGGTAAGAAATTATGAATTGTTGCACCAACATTCTTTAGATTGGTAAATTTATGAATACATTTCATAATTTCTAGAAACAAGCTTTTTCATAGTACAAAATTCAGTAAAGCACAAAAAATGTTTACTAACAGACCAAATTTATCTTTAGTTTTTCTGTAATAAGGAAGCCAAAAGTAGATAAACCCATGTTCAGTAATAAATGTTTCATTATTTAAAGATCTAGATATTCAATGTAATTAATTCATTACTTAACCTGAAACCTTAAAATTTTTCTGTTATCAAAACATTTTGGAAGCTATTTAGAAAGTTTACCTAAAACTTTTAAATTTATTTAAAATTTATTTATTTTATGTTTTTTAAAGATTTTATTTATCTGACAGAGAGCACAAGTAGGCAGAGCAGCAGGCAGAGGGAGAGGGAGAAGCAGGCTCTCCGCTGAGCAGGGAGCCCGATGCAGGGCTCGATCCCGGGACCCTGAGATCATGACCTGAGTGGAAGGCAGGCGCTTAACCCCCTGAGCCACCCAGGCACCCCAATTTACTTGTTTTTAACAATTATGGTTAGATTACCCACAAACACTTCATGAGATACCAAAGTCAGCCATTCTTCTAAGCTATTCTGTTCTTCTTGAAAAATTTTGTAACCTAAATATGAACTTACTTGACTTTCAGTAAACCCAAAGTAAGAATTTTCATTTTAAAACTGATAAATTAATTCTCCAATTGAGTATTTTCCTAGATCATGTGAACCTGAAATTCGTTTGGACTGCTTCTATTTTGACAATTTTCATAATAGTAAATTTTTATAAGCATTTAATTTTTAAGCCAATTAAATAGAGCTCTTTACAAATGAACTCTGGAAATAACATTGAAAGGTAGAAAAACACCTTACTTATAATGCACATACATACACAATATAAAACTCACTAGTTTATAAACAGTTGCCATAAAGTTTACTTGCTCAGATGGCTGAAGTGTTTCTACTATTTGTGGAAAAGACTTTTTTTTTTTTTTTAAAGATTTTATTTATTTATTTGACAGAGAGATAGAAGAGCACAAGCAGAAGGAATGGCAGAGGGAGAAGGAGAAGCAGGCTCTGCACTGAGCAGGGAGCCCGATGCGGGACTCGATCCCAGGACCCCAGGATCATGACCTGAGCCGAAAGCAGACGCTTAACCATCTGAGCCACCCAGGCGCCCTGTGGAAAAGACTTTTAAGATTGGTATTTGTCCTTGGAATTAATCTTATGGAGGCTGTGTTAGAGTTCGTACACAAGGGCTATTTTAGCAGTTTTCATTTTAGAAAGTCCTCTTCCCTTTTTTCCCCCTTCAATCTCAGGTGACTGGGGGCTGTGTTTACATTTCAAAGACATAAGGTTTATAACTTTAAAGGATGGAGAAAGAATGCCAGTTGTTGTTTTAAAGAGATTCAGTGTAATTATCTTTTTGAAGCACTGGGCGATTTTGTTCTAATATCCTGATCTTTTGTAATATCTGCAAGCATTTTGAGAGAAATAGACAAAGTTTGGGGTTAGTAAAGACCAGCATTTCTGGTGGTGTAAAGATTTGCAAGGCAAAGGCTGTTTTTAATTCCCTCCCAGGAACTGGATTACAGCCTGAATACTAAGTGACTGAGTCACCTTTTTAAATTAAACTAGCTATTTCATATCAGGGAGATTTTACCTAAAATGGGAATCAAGAGACTTAAGACTTTGTAAGGTCTCTATAAAGTATTTTAACAAAAGCCTTCTTTCTGAGTACACAATTCAAACTTGGTTTCTATTAATCCCTGAACACCAATCTTCCGCTGATCATTTGTAGGCAGACCTAGGAGATATTTTGGTCACCTGTTTGTGTGTGTGTGTGTGTGTGTGTGTGTGTGTGTGTGTAGGGGTGGTGTTGTGAATGGCCACTAATCTTTCTAATTCCTCTCTAAATTTGGGAAGGAGGAGGATGGAGTTTTGTAAAAGGGCTTTATGATTGGAAAGATCTGCTGTTGTCCAGGGGACATTCTTTTGTGTTGGGGGTCTACTTTCACAAATATTTTCTCCTGCTGATCTAAATTTAGAAAGAGAGAGAAGAGGGGCACCTGGGTGGCTCAGTCGTTAAGCGTCTGCCTTCAGCTCAGGTCATGATCCCAGGGTCCTGGGATCAAGCCCCACATCGGGCTCCCTACTCTGCAGGAAGCCTACTTCTCACTCTCCCACTCCCCCTGCTTGTGTTCCCTCTCTCGCTGTCTCTCTCTGTCAAATAAAATCTTTAAAAAAAAAAAAAAAAAAAGAGAGAAGATAGACACTCACCAATCTCACTCCATTAGACCATGCAGGCTGAGATCAGGAGACTGATGTGATAATGATTTCTACCTTCTGCCAAGGATTCTTACCTGCTGGTGGCTGTTCATCAGATGTTCTAGGATTTCTTAGGGGCAACAGCCTCAAAGCAAATAGTATCCAGTGAGGGAAGTTTATCCTACTGACTATGCCAAATGTTGGGGAGGATAACTTTCATCCTACCCTTCAAGATTCTTCTAGGTGGCCTAAGAATTAAATTGATATGAGACATATTAATAGAATTAAAAACCCCAAAGTTTATTACATGTGCACAGAGGCCCAATATTAAAATTGAAACCCAAAGAAATGATCAAGTCATGCATTTTTTTTAAAGATTTTATTTATTTATTTGACAGAGAGAGACACACCGAGAGAGGGAACACAAGCAGAGGGAGAGGCAGAGGGAGAAGCAGGCTTCCCGCTGAGCAGGGAACCCAATGTGAGGCTCGATCCCAGGACCCTAGGATCATGACCTGAGCCGAAGGCAGATGCTTAACCGACTGAGCCACCCAGGCGCCCCACATGCAGCTTTTAGATGTTTTAGTCAAAGAAACCTAAATCTATGAGGAAGTGACAGAATAAAGAAAACTTATGTTCAGGAGCTTTGATTAGTAAGTAATTGTGGTAGTAAATGAGTAAAAGTGACAAGGGTCATTCACATAGGCTTCCTTGGTCCTGAATTTCCTGTCTCTTATGATAAGGATGTCTCCAAACCTCCTGGTACAAGGAGGGTCCTTCATGTGAGAGATTTACTCATTGGTTTCTGGAGAAAAGGAGTATCAGAGTGTTCTCCCTACACTGGCTGTTTCTTAAGTAACTTTAACAGAATTATTAATATGCAGTTGTTGAACATTTTGGGGTGGGCTGCCTTGGAACCCTGCTCTGGTAAACCTGTGACCCCACCAGGCAGATCAAATGAAGACTGTCCAGTTTAAAGCTCCCTTCCCAGAAAGATTTTCTTGGTGTGGATTTTCTCTATGCTGGAGAATATGCAGGTGGTTTGGGAAGGTTGCAGCTCCACAGCCCAGAGGTCCTAGGCTGCCCAATGCCAGCTAATAGGTAGGTACTCTGCATGCGTAGACTACATGGACCTGTTAAGGTGTCAGGCAATGCCAGTCACAGAAGTGAGCTATTAGGGGTATAAACTATCTTCCTAATTCCAAACTCTGACCTACACAAATATGCATATTCTCTCAACAGCAGAGCTGCAGGAAACTGGACCACCCTGCTTGGGTATAGCCTGGCAGACTGATGGAATATCCTCCAACAAGAGATAACTGGGAGCCTTGGTAACTGGTCCCATTCTGGCAAGGCAGACTGGTTTCCTCCAGTGATGCTTTCAGGAGGAATACGGGCATTTGTTTAGGTTAGAACTTGGAATTAGGCAGATGCTCTTGACACCTAGACTCTCTCAACACTTGCCCCATTCCAGGTCCCTGGCTTCCCTGGCCTGTGTGGCTGGGACATGTGCAGTATATACCCTGTCAGCCAGCCATGGGTAGCCAGGCCCCCAGCCCTGTGGAGCTGGGGCCGGTATCCAACCACTTACATAGCTTTCAGAGCAAAAGAGAACCCACTCCCAGAAAAATCTTTCGGAGGTGGCATCTTTAAAATGGCTACACTCAGTACATATTTGGACTGGTTGCCTAACATGGTCCCAGGCTTCTCCCCCAGGTGTCTTTTATTGGAGGATACCTGGTCCAGTCTGCTCAGCCCCATCCGGCAAGGCAGTCCAGTTTTCATCAGTTCTGCCTTCAGGGGGATTCTTCACATTTATGTAGGTTATGGCTTGGAATTAGGTGATGCCTTGTACCCCCAAAAGCCCTCTTCAGTGACCTGGCCTCTCAAGACCTGTGCTCTATTCCAGTTGTCTACCCTGAAGTGAACTGCACCACATGCTCAGGGCACATCCTGTTGGCCAGCCTTGGGAAGCTGAGGCCCTCCAGGCCTGTGGAGCTGGGGCCCGTGCCTAATCATCCGTATAGTCTCCAGGGCAGAGGAAACCCACTGCTCATAAATCTTTTTGAGACAGCAACCAATTCCCATTTGGATTGGTTGCCTAACGAAGTTCTGGGTTTACCATTGATTAAGGCTCCCAGGTGTTGTTTAGTGAACAATCCCCTGGCCAGCCAGCCAATTGGCCTCATCCTAGAAAGGCAGTCAGATTCCTCCATTGCTGTGTATTGGTCTGATACGACTTCAAATCTACTTGTTTATGACAGACAAAAAGTGTTTTCAGAGGTACAGTTGTTTTGATGTAAGAATAAAGTAAAATGTGTCAGGAAGTCAACATCTCATCTGTTCTCACTGATAAGAACTAGTAGCTCAGCAGCTGAGGGGCCCCACTGAGGGCTTATCAATAAAAACACATGAAGTAAGTATGGCAAGGGTACATTAGACTGTGAACACTGAGAGCTTGTGAGCTTGATCTGCACAAGGATACACTTCGCTGATCTAAAATAGCTCTCAGAAAACATTGGGGCAATTAGTTCTTGCCATGATAAAGGGTATTCCTTTACTGATGGTGGCAAAAACCATACAGAGGCCTTGCTAAGGTCATCCTCTTGCCCATCAACACTCTGGCCATCAATCCCTAGCCACCTGCTCTAGCAACACAGGACTCTCTGTGCTGCGCCGGCAGCTGGACGTCAGCTCTCAGTTGACTAACCTGTCTCCCCCCAGTAGCAACTCCTATCAAGTGTTAAAAACAGAAACAAGTAGTCCAAAATGGAGTCCTTTGCCCTCAACCACAGCAAACCAAGACTCAGTGAGGTTTCACCATATCCCAGGAGTGTGATCTTTAATTTGAAATTTCCTGATCAGCACCAATGAGGTGGCATGGTAACAAACCCCGCGGGTCCCTTTCCCCTTAACAGAAGATGTCCTGGCCTGAAACACAATCCTTTCTTTTCTTTTGCTAATGACTTCCTTGCTCTACCCTCCTTCTTATAAAAACCTTTCATTTTGTACAACTCCTTGGAACAGCTCTTTGCTAGATGGGAGGATGCCTTATTCATGAATTGCTTAATAAAGCTAATTAGATATTCTAATTTGCTAGGTTGAATTTAGTTCAACAAAATGTTCACCTCACCTAAATTTAGACTTCATTCCTCTCATTGCCCTTTGCCAGAAACAATAGTATGATTAATCTATCGTTGATTTGGAATATGATATTTCTTTGTTGGCTTATTAAAAGACATTATTGTATATGCTATTGGCTTGTAAAATTCCACATTAAAATATAGAACGCTTAAAATTTGGTGCTAATGTTGCCCACAATAGTTCCTTTTTTTTTTTTTTTAAAGATTTATTTGGGGGCGGGGGACAGAGGAAGAAGAACGAACGAATCCTCAGGCAGACTCCCCACTGCGCACAGAACCTCACATGGGGCTGAATCCCAGGACGCTGAGATCATGACCTGAGCTGAAATCAAGGTTTGGCTATTTAACCAACTAGCCACTCAGGCACCCCGACCCAATAGTTATCTTAATACTGATTAACCATATTATAAACCATTTGGAATGCTCTATTAAGCATCTTGATGATAAAATATCATAGATCTTTGTGACTGGCAGGAGGAAACAGTAAATGTGTCTTACTCACAAACCCTACCAAAATTACTCAAGAGGTGGTTTAGGCATAGAATGGGTTGTGTATTAACTTCTGAAGATCCCTAGAAACCTATTGAAGACTTAGTCTGGGCAAAACTTTAAGGAAACTCCAGATGTTGGTCTGATCATCCAACCCAGTTATATCCTGTATTAAAAAGAGCAAC